CCTCCTGTCACGGCAGAGAGCCGTGACAGGATCAAGAGGCGAGCGAACCCGGTATGTGTTCGCTCACCTCCCGATCTACTGAGCCGACCTGTGACAGTCTCATTGTCACAGGTCGGCTAGAACTATGAGGTGACTGAAAAGCACTCACCTCATAGTTCTCCTTTAATATCACTTTGTCGTAAATGAAGGAAGGAGAAGGATAACAGTCTGGGAGCCTGCATCATCAAAAAACCAGGCAGCTCCTAAAATTCTGTCCTGACAGGTTCTCTTTATACATGGCACTGTAATTAAGTACTCACAGAAAGTGGGCAGTACCAAGAACTTGAAATGTGGTGTAAATACACAGCCTGGTCAAAAAATATCACCACCTGGAATTAGCTAAGCAAATAGGTCAGAGCATTCCATTAGATAACAGGTCTAGGTTCAGCAACGTCATGTCCCCCAAAAAATGAGGTCAGCTGCCTACCTAGATATACTGAATGACCAGGTTTTTCCATCAATGGATTTTCTCTTCCCTGATGGCACATTCGGCATATTCCTGGATGACAATGTCAGGATTCATTGGGCACACATTGTGAAAGATTGGTTCAGGGAGCATTAGACATCATTGTCACACATGGATTGGCCAGGCTGTAATCCCATTGAGAATCTTTGGGATGTGCTGGAGAAGACTTTACACAGAGGTCCGACTCCCATCACCACTACAAGATCTTGGTGAAAAAGTCATGTTACTCTGGACAGAAATAAATGTTGTGACATTGTATAAGCTTATCAAAACAATGTCACTGTGAATGTGTGCCGTAATCAAAGCTAAAGGCGGTCCATCGAAATATTAGAGTGTGTAACTTTTTTGGGGGCAGGCAGTGTACGTTGTGGCAACTCCATAAGGGAGAATTTGCTTCACTCTGAATATTGCTTTACTTGGTCTACCCCAGAATATATTAAAAACCAACCACAGAGTAGAGAGCAAATGACGTTTCTTCTTCAGGCCTCATAGACATTTCCTAAGATTACATGATCCTGGGTATTATTAGAGTGACATTGTTTATGTTTGCTGGAAATGGCTTCCTCACACGTATGTATCTAGAATGGTATATAAACAAAGAATCCTGAATGTACCCAGTGTCCTCTCCTCCACACATCATTTTCAGGAACTGTTGATAAGATCGCTCAGTGGGGATAACAGGGATCCCAACCTGAAAGAAGCCATTTCAGGGAGGTGTCCTTCTCATTTCAGGGAGGTGCCCTCTACGCCCCCCCCCCCAAATAGCCAATAGGAATCTAGCTATGGATTCGTATGCCTTTGTGTTTCTTTTCTGACTGACGGTCGGGCCGTGGCTCCCAATGTCAGAAAAGAAAAAAAAAAACGATTGCAGGGAAAGGTTTATCTGCTCGATCCAGCAGATAAACCTTTCCGGGAGGAAGTGTTTCTCTCCCGGGCGGCCGGGAGCCGCTATCCAATAGCGGGAGAATCCCGGAGCGTCTGGGAGAGTTGGGATGTCTGGGATAAGAAAGGCTGCACTGCCCCTATTAGCCAATCAGATTCCAGCGGTTATTCTTCCTCTGCAGTGTAAAGTGGAACTAAACCCGCTCTCTAAAATCTCACATAAGCCTGAACAGGTTAATTTTTTCCCCAATCTTTTAAAATTTGCAGCATTTGTTAAAAGATTACTTCTTCATCCTGCCACAAAAGTCTTTGTTCAGACACTTCCTGTTGTAGGGGGACCACTGTCTCCCAGTTGTGCTCCTTGGTGGCCACACAGTCACATGGGTCACTGATTGAGGCTAGAAGCCAACACGCATTGCGCAGGCATGGTCCACTGTTGTCCTCTTTAGGAAATCAGTTATGAAACTGTCACACGTTGTCTCAGTAGATCGGGAAGTGAGCGAACACATACCGGTGCTCGCTCACTTCTCGATCTATCCCTGCAGAGAGCAGTGGCTGTCACTCACATCTCCCTGCAGGGATTCCCCCCTCCCCTCTCCGATCCTCCAGCGCTGAGTGGCGGAACGGATGGGGGAGGGGACGGGTACAGCTGGCTCTGCCTCTAGATAGGCAGAGCCAGCTGTCACTCACGCAGCTGGGAGGATCTCAACAGTAATGTCGGGATCCGTCCCGGCTGCGGCGATCTCAGTATACCGCGATCTGTAGCTTGCGATATACCGACCTTTGGGTCACGGGAGGACGCTAGTTTATGCCTTCCCGTGACCCTTAGGAGAACTATGGGGAAAAATACTTACCCCATAGTTCTCCTTTAAGGCACTTGAATGTATTTTTAAGATCTAGCTCCTAAATTTAGTGTCACTTTAAGCCCTGGGTACCTGTGGGCTTAAAGTGCCCCTCCCTGTTCAGATTCTCCAGCGCTGACTGGCAGAACGGACGGGGGAGGGGGCGGGCACAGCTGGCTCTGCCTTTGGATAGGCAGAGCCAGCTGTCAATTCCGCAGCTGGGTGGATCTCGACAGCATTGTCGGGATCCATTCCGGCTGCAGTGTCTCAGTATACTGCAAGCTGTAGCTTGCGGGATACTGAGCTTTGGGTCACAGGAGGACGCTAGTTTGTGTTCGCCCGTGACCCTTAGGGGAACTATGGGGGAAAGCCCTGACCCCATAGTTCTCCTTTAAAGATGTGCAGCCGATGCTGTGGTTACTGCATGTAGACAGGAAGTGACTGAAAAAACCTGGTGGAGATCAGTAGCATTGAAATGAAAAAAAAAAAACACAAAATGTAATGAGGCCACTACCTCTGAGGCTCCACTAATGCTGGCTATACACATGTGGATAGGTATAAGAGGTTGAATGGGAGAAATCTATTCGATTTTCCTCTCTCTAAACAGCATGGATGGAGGAATCTCCCCACCGGCTATGGCTTTCAGACAGCCGGCACCTCAGAATACCTATACAGTGTAGCTGATTGGCAGCAGTCACTGTTTGTCAAAGTTACAATTTCCTTTGAATCGGCTGAAACTCTAACAGTGTATGGCCAGCTTAACGTTCAACTCCAGGATAAGCAAATATGGTCTAAATACAAGAGCCATGTGTATTCTTACTTGAATCTTGGTGAGCTTTGTGCATTTCATCCAGATCTGTTCAGTAATCCAGTGTGACACTTTGTGCAGGAGCTTCCTGTAATAAAGACCAGTACTGCTGCTCTCTTTACTTATGCAGAGTGACTGATCTTGTCTCCGCCCCCTCCTGTAGTTTTCTACAGGTAACCTGTAGTGAGTGGACCTACTGGACTCCTCTCACAGCTCTCTTGCAGAGTCACGTCTCGGCTCCAAGTATTGGTATGAGTACAATTTACTCTCCCAAAACTTCCCCTTCCAAATCACATAGTCCATTCGGTTTCCCCAAACATGAGTCCTGCTAACATGTGCTGTAACCAGAATCAAAGGAGCTCCTCATAGTGTCACTGAAAGTGGAACTTGTGCAGCTTCCCCCCTCTGCTCCTTTTATTACCAAACACATGCAGACTTCCAAGGCAGGCCTCAATATAATTGGTAGGTGTAGGAATTGAATCACCACACCAGTTAAAATAAGATATAAATAAATAAAAGTCCAGATACAACTTTATTCCATTACGGTCAGGGGGCATTCAAGTAGAGTATGCAACGCGTTTCAGGGATCCAAACTTGCCCCTTCATCAGGGCTTAATGAGAGAAATCATGTATGTGGATTACAATCTATGCAGCTTAAAAATAGTAATGAGCTATGCTGGGAGTGCTTCAGGCTCGTCGGCAGCTGGTTTGGCAATCTTATTGGTGGCTATGAGAAACTGACTATTTTTACATCAGGCTTTTTGTATGCCAGAGTCGGGTCAAAATACCTCACAAGCTCAGGTTTTCTAGTCACATGATCAGTAATAGAACTATAAAACTCTACAGTAATGTCTCTGGATTCTTGTTAATTGAAGCTTACCCTAAAACTGCACATCTCTTTTATCCTCAGACTCTACCCCATGTTCATTTTTTTCTAACTTTGCTGTCATCTGTCTTCTGACACAGGTTCATGTGTGCCCAGCTGCCCAACAAAGTCCTGGAGAGCATTAGCATGATAGACACTCCTGGCATCCTGTCTGGTGCCAAGCAGAGGGTGAGCAGAGGTGAGTACCATGCAAATTACTAACGAGAAGGAAACTTGTTATTGCACACGTCATACTCATCATTTTGCTTTGCTGGAAAGTTATATCAAAGAGGCGCTGAGACGTCTCCAGAACATGGAAAGACCATAATCATTCGATGTGCTAAGTTGCTCTGATAAGGCTGCTAATGTGGAACACTGCTCCCCTTCAGCGGGTACCCGGAAAATGACTCAAATACGTACACTGCAAGCGCCACCAATGATGGAAGAATCAAAAAATGCTTTAATTGTACATAAAGTGATCATATGGCGTCCAAGGCCTTTCGAGGGCAAAACGAGTTCGCCCTTAATCAGGGCTTTTGAATGTACTCAGGGAAGTAGATGCTACTGTAGGTAGATCTTAAAGGGTTTCTCACATATTTTTGCATACATCTTCAGTAGATGTATGCAAAAAGTTTTTTTTAAAAAGCGGTTTAAACTTATCTGTGTCTTCGCGCTCCCGTCTGAAGATCTGAAAATTCTCGGGCGGCCGCAAAGCATCTTGGGGCGGGCGCATGTGCAGTTCGGATTTTCGGCCGGAGACGAGGAGAGACACAAGGTAAGTGTTTGGACGCGTGCACCCGCATGCAAACAACGTTGGACAGGAAGTGCCAGCAAGGACAGAGGAGTCAGCGCTGGATCGGAGACCCGCAGCAGCGAAGGCTGAAAACGACAGGAAAGAACAAGAAGATCGGATTAAGAAACATCATTTAAGGTAAGTGCTTTAATTAACATTGGTGGGAGGGAAAACATTTTATCATTTAATGTCACTTTAAAGTGAACCTTTACCCCCTTTCACTAAAAATCACATCACCATACAGCTCTGCTTAAAATCATATTACATTCCTTAGTTAAACAAACATATTTTTGCTTTACTTACAAATAGGGTTTATCTACTTCCTGGTCCTGTTTTGACACAAATGATGCAATGTGCCCAACCATTGCATCCTGGGAAGTTTACATCAGCAGAGTATTGCTGAGAAATCTCATCTGTAATCTCACGAGATCTCAGGGAAAGGCATTTCCTCCCCTGGGATGATGTGCATAGTCACATGTCCTAGTCACATGTGCCAGGGTTTCAGTGAGTAAATGGAGAGCTAGTAATCTGCCAAGTTAACATGGCCACTGTCAGAAGACTGGGATAGAAAAGAGAAACAAGGTATGCAAAAAATACAAAGTCGGCAATTATCTAGAAGTATGTGTTTGTAGATTGTCATTACTAAACATTTCTAAAGGTGTGTTTGCAGTTATTTGAAAGATAAGGGGAAAGTTCCACTTTAAAGTGACATTAAACCCTCAGATTTTTTAACATAAAACAATACTGTAATGTGTGCCTTACTGTAATTCATGGTCGTTTCCCTTCTCTTTGCTGCTCTTCCTTTTAAATCTGTATCTCTTCTCATGCTGGGCAGAACTTCTGTTTTGCAGCAGACTGCCTTGTCTCTGAAATGGATACACGGTGTCTGTGTGTAGGTTCACAACCTGAGCCAGCACTACAGGAAGAGGCACTCAGCTGCAAAGGGAAGTTCTCCCCCAGCATGAGAAGACATGAGGATTTAAAAGGAAGAGCAGCAAAGAGAAGGGAAACTACCATGGATTACAGTAAGGCACACATTACAGTATTGGTTTATGTAAAACAATCTGAGGGTTTAATGTCACTTTAAGTTCACTGCTTAACATGAGATCCAATGGGGTAGAATTATGCCAGTAGAACAGCTGCAACAAACCCTTATGATCCCTTATGATTACCCTTATGATCATTTTATGCACAGTTAAAGCATTCTTGGATCCTTCCATTATTGGTCTGGTGCATGTGATGTATGTACATGTTTTACTTTATTAGGGGCACACTAGATGGAGTCCCACAAATATCTAAAAGCAATGTGACTAATGTATGGGAACTGAAGCGAAAGTGGAGCTTTTATTCACAGTAACCAATCTGGTTTCATATGTTATTCCCTGAGAAAGTGAACTTTGTTAGGTTGCTATTTACAAAAACTCTGCTTCATACATAGCCACACCAATAAACAACGCTGTGTTGTATAACATGAACATTATTTCCTGGGGCTTTATCAGTAATGCAGTGCACAGAGAAATGATGATGCAAAGTGCAGTTACCCATCACAATCAATGGGATTACACCCTAATTAAAGGAGAACTATGGGGTCAAGGCTTTTCCCCATAGTTCTCCTTAGGGTAACAGGAGGACACAAACTAGCGTCCTCCCGTCACCCTAGGCTCAATATACCGCGAGCTGTAGCTCGTGGTATACTGAGACGTTGCAGTATACCGCAAGTTGCTGCTCGCGGTATACTAAGACGCCATACCGCTGAAGCGGATCCGACAATTGTGCCGGGATCCACCCAGCTGCGTGACTGACAGCTGGCTCTGCCTATCTAGAGGCAGAGCCAGCTGTACCCGCCCCCTCCCCCGTCCGTTCCGCCAGTCAGCTCTGGCGGATCGGAGCGGGGAGGGGGGAAACCAGCCCCTCCCCTGTCACGGCTCTCTGATCGAGAGGTGAGCGAACGCCGATATGTGTTAGCTCACCTCCCGATCTACTGAGCCGACCTGTGACAGTCTCAGCTGGGTTACTATAATAACTGCACATATAGCTGTGTTCTTTGTCTAACCGAATAAACCAGATTTTGTACATTTCTCATTTTAAAATATATAGTTATATCATAGCTAACAAATTGAATTATTCAATGCAGACATATTTTGTAAAAAATACAAAGTTTGCGTATCCGCTATATGAAATAATATCTATTTTGCTATGCTTGTGCAGGTTTTGAAATGATTTACCCCCAGGGAAGATTAGCTTGTTTTGATAGGGATCTATCATCAGCAACTTGCAATTACATACTCGTGACTTTACAATTGTTACACACGTAGGACCTTCCATTATGTCAATTCCTTCTCGATTGCAAGCAGAAGCCTTTTGCACTGGGCATAATGGAGCCTTTTTAAGAAAAAGGGTATTGTAATGTAATAAATACTAATCTGATGCCTCGCTGTATGATACTGGATTTCTCACAATGTTGCAAAAAGGTTGAGGGATACTTTAAGGAAGACAGTTTTAGATTTGGGACTAGGTGACTTTTAGGAAGACATGTCCAGTGAGCTGGGTCAGACACAGTGCAGGATGTCCTATCCTGTATGTCTGGAGAAGGGAAGGGCAAAGGGCAGCAGGAATCTGCACCCATTAACTGATCTAAACATAATCCGCTATTGTTTATAGAAATATCCCCTCTACTTAGGAGTGGCCCAGGCTCTGATTCTGGCTCTGTGCCTCTTGGCTCCTCTGTGTAAACACTGAGTAATGGGAGCCAGTAGCATTGTGTACGCCCTTAGGAGATGGGTTACCTGTTGCTGTTGATGTACCCATCAGACTTATAATTCAGTCTAAAAAAAAGTCAATGACACCCAAGAACTTGGTGCCTTACAACTGGGACTTGCAGGGCCAGAAACCTTCGTTCAGTTACCATCAAGGATAATAGAGTATACTGCATGCAGTCTGTTGGTGTGCCCTGCATTTCTGTGAGTTCTTCCTGGTGTTTTAGTTCCTTCCTTCAACCCAAAAACAAAGAGGTAGGTTAACTGGCTTTCACCCAAACTGTCCCTTGTATGCATGTCTATGTAAGTATGACTATATAACCTAATTTTATTAGACATTGTGCTATAGCACATAAGAGTGGCAGCTTGCCACTGCTCAAGTAGTCAGAAGCAGGAGCCTAGGACCTGGTGGATGTCCTGGTAGCCCAGCTCAGTCTTCATAATGCTGCCGTAAAAAGTGGACAGCGCAACTAGTCAGAGCTGTACACCTGCCGGTCATTCACAATGGAGGATGTATTTGTAGCTAGTTGCACTTGTAGGTAGGCATCTGGTCGGGCCATTACATGCCAGTAAAGACCATGCAAATATGGCAGCTTCTCTGTACCTACTGCAATCCAAATCAATGTCAGTCAAAGGGATAGTGGGACCAAAGCTGCTACCTTGCGTACATCCCCATTCTGCCCTTCCTGATCTCTGGTGGTGAGATACTAATTTTGTTCTTGTAGCACTAGCATCTGATTCAATTCTCCCTCCCTCTCGGGCAGCACAGTGGCGTAGTGGTTAGCGCTTCTGCCTTGCAGCACTGGGGGTCCCCGGTTAAAATCCCGGCCGGGTCACTATCTGCAAATAGTGACCCTTGAGTTGGAAAAAGTCCAGCAGAGGGCAACCAAACTAATTAGGGTTATAGAGAACTAACCCCCCCTCTGCGGATGGGGGGGGGGGAGAGGGCACCTCCCTGAAATGAGAGGGACACCTCCCTGAAATTGCTTCTTTCAGGTTGGGATCCCTGTAAGAGGGACAATAGTAAATGTGCAGTACTTTATTCCTTCACTGATCTCTATAGAAGAGTGATGGACTGGGCCCCATTCACAGGCGATTTCCAAATTAGTTGGAAAAATTCCTTGGTGTAGAACTCAGGAGAAGGCCAGATAATCAAGAATATCCCATACTTTATGAGGCCTGTTATACTGATATAGGAGAATAATACAGTGTCACTTTGAGTCTGCTGCTGGGCTGATGACTTCACATCCGAGATGGCTGCGTCAAGCGGAAATCTCAGGGATTTTAGATATCTACATAGAGGAGGCTTTTACAGGTAAACACTATTTATAGCATGCATAAACTATGTTAAATGCACATTTAATCTTATGGGAAGATTGTTGTTGAAAGTAATGGTCTGGCAATAGGGTCTCTTTAATAGTGTCAATGTACTGCATTTTATATAGGAAACAGCCTGCAGCTGTCAGGCTATATATTGGTATATATTAGAGGGGCAGCTTGCTACTGTCAGACAGTGTACAGGAGTGTCAAACTCAATTTAATCGTGGGCCGCATCAACATTATGGTTGCCCTCAAAGGTATCTGTAAGACTATATAAATGTATCTAATCTTCATCATAATTGCCTCTGCATTTGATTATTACTGGTTTTA